ACACTTACTCTCAAATTTTTCAAAACGTGAGAGAGAGAGAGAGAGAGAGACAGAAAGAGAGAGAGAGAGAGAGAGAGAGATTAGGCAATTGGGGTAAATTCTTAAATAAGTGAATCTGGGTAAATGGTATACAGATGATCTTTGTATTATTCTTAGTCTTGTAACTTTAAAGTTGTTTCCAAATAATAGTTTAAAGGGAGTTAAAGGCAACCCATCTAATGGTCTGTGTGCCTAAACTTTTATTTTTCTGTTTTATAACTTTTCATATATGCCAGGAGGAGAATAAGTTAAACCCTTCTCAAAAGTTTCGTACTTTCTAAAATGCCTGTAGATATTAGTCATGATTTTGAACATTTGAAGGAATTTCAACTGATACATGTAAGTTTTCTCCTGCTTGGTTGAAAATACGGAAGCAAAAATAAAGACTTTCGGGGAAAATTGGTTACTTGCAGGGAAAGAGACGTTATTTCCACTGTGACTGTGTCATTTGTAGTATCCAGACTTCTCCTTTGTATTTGCTTCTTAAAACATCTTTCCTCCTGTCTGGATTCAGGAGGTTGAAGGAGCTTGGAGTGAGAGATGAGTGAAGACAGGACTGGGAAAGTGTTTGAACAGTACTTAACCTCCTCCTTCCATTTCCCACCTCCCACTGCCAGTGAGCTGTCTGAGTAATAGCCAGCTAGTCCTAGAGCCTTTCTGCATTAACTGGGTTCTCTTTTACACCATCTCCATAGAACGTATCATGTATTTCTATTATATATCTTACTTATTGCCTGTCCCCTCTACTAGAATGTGAGTTTTATGAGGGCAGGGATTTTTGTCAGCTTTGTTCACTACAGTGTTCTCAGTGCTCCTAATAATGCCTGGCTTATAGTTGTCCCTTAACCTAAGTATTTGTGGGGTGAATGAATTTAGAACAGATGAAGGCTAGAATCTCATCCAATCACCAGAATTAATTCCAAGCAGGTTAAATAGTGGAAATTTTAAAAAGACCACAACAAAATCAATGAAGTTGGGTAACGTTCGCCCCTCTGGAGGAGATAAGAGAGTTTAAGTCTAATAATAACAGCCAACATTTGTTTTACGTATACTGAGTGCCAGGCCCTGTGCTCGGTGCTTCATATATTCAACACTGGCAATGTGGATGCTAACATAGCTCTCATATTATTGATGGGGGAACTGAGGCTTTAAAAAGGTGTGTGATTGCCCAAATATGTAACTTGTATTAAGCTAAGTGTGTTAGGGCTGGGATTCAAGCAAGCCCAGGTCTTTCTGATGCCAGTGTTCAAGTTTTGTGCTCTGTCCAGTACTACACCACTAATCCTCAGTGTGCAGATAAATGGAGAAAATTTCCCTTATGATAAGACAAGACGTGTAGCCTGTTGGTAGAATAAACCAATCCTAATGGAGAAAAAAATTAGAAGCAACTATTCAGGGCATAAGATAGACAGCATCCTTTACCTAGGATCTGTAAATTTCTGGATCTACAGATTTGTGCTCTTAAGCAAACAATGGATTTAACAGAGTTTTAGTTGCAAGAATTTTATCAATGACATGTTTTCCTAAGGAGGAGAAACTACAAATATTCAGATGTCTTATGATGAATGAGAAAATATTAATGATATGTGTAGCTAGTACGTTGGAAAATGTTCCTGGAAATTGTTATTGGAAACACGTTAAGAGGCTTCTCCTTTGGCCCTTTGAAATTTATTCAGAGAGGCTAGATCTTTCCCTGCCTCTTTCTGAGTGCTTGGGTATAGAACTCGACTTTATAGCCATTCTTAGTTCACAAGACACGACTAAATTCAGAATGTATAAAGTCTAAGCCAGTGTAATAGTCAAAATGCTATGTTGATTTGAAATTGTGGCCCTCGCATAGCTAGAAACTTGTGAACGGGTAAGAGAGTGGTCAGTTTTTTCTCTTTTCTGTCACAGCTTCTCCCATATCCAGTTAAGTGCGATTTTGGAGGTGGAGGAGGAAGAAAAGATAAGGGGTTCAGGGCAGCTCTCTTTGACAAATGCTGATGTACATTTGTGCTTTCTGGGTTTAGCATTGCTTAAGGTTGACACTGTCATGGGTGCTTTCGTGGGCTCTTTGAGTCTCTCCCTACCCCATTTGGTGGAACTTTCTCCCCAGTAGTTCTCTTGATATGGCTGGAGCCATCTCTTTTCTGGCTGGTCTATTGTGACTCCTTCTCCAGACTCTAGACACCTGGCCACCCACTTTGTGCTTCCTTCTGCTGAGGTCCCATGACCTTTCCAGGCAGCCTATGTAGACTAAATCTATGACAACTCCACACTTGCTCTTTCTTGCATCCTTTGCTATCAAATTCCACAGTGCAAGCTGCATCCTCTTCCTTGTGGCCATAGGTCACCTCAGCCAGCCTCCCGACTTTTGCATTCTCAGGCATGACCCAGACACTTGTTATTGTGTCTCCACAAATACTTAGGGCATGTATAAATATCTATGAGAAGTATAATGAAAGCCTTCCTAGTAACTTGGAATTAAGAGATTTGGAATTAAGAAAGCATAGCTCTCTTTAAAGAAATTATGCTAAAAAATCTCCTCCAAAAATATGCCAAATTCCTGATCATTTTCCACCTTTAAAATGAGTGTTGTAAGAGATCCTTAACCACATTTTGTACATCTTTTGTCTGTGTATTTTTTAAGGTCCTACAAGTTGATTTGTCTCACAGCTTCCTTTAAGGTCTATCCAAAGGACTTAGCCAAAACTTTCATTTTAATATCCTGTTACAAGTTTTCGATAAAAAAGTCAAGATAGAAGAGTGATGTCAGAAAGATTACAGAATAGGAAGTCCCAGCCCTCATTGCCCTCCCCCAGAAATAACAATTTAACAACCATCCATGGACAAAAATAACTTTATGAGAGCTTTGGAGTCTAGTTGAAAGATTCCAGCATCCTCGTGGACCACAAAACCCAAGATCCGTCACATCGAACAGGGTGAAAAGAACAGTTTTACCTTATCCATGTCATCCCTTCCCCAAACCCAAACAGCTCAGTGCCAAGAGAGATTCCCCCAGCCTGAGATTTCTGCAGGGGAAAGAGAAAGCAAAGTGAGGGACTGGCTTCCTCAGTCTTCTGGGGAAATGCCCAGGAGTATTGTTTCACTGCACTCAGAATGCTGAGGAAATGTCACTTTCTGATCATCTGGGGACAGCTAAGATTAAAGATCAGGGCAGGGGCTCACACGACCAGCATGTGAAACTCAACAACCAATGTGTGTGTCCTCATAGACAGTCCCCTATGCATACTTGCAGACAGTACCTCCTATGCCCCAGAAGCTGGTACTTCATGTTCCCCTGCAGATGGCATCATTTTGAGAGATGTTTACAATCCTAAGATTTCCCTTGCAAGAGGGAGTGAGAGGAGTGGGTTGGGCATATCCATAGGAAAGGGTTGAGAGACCCCCTAATATCTCTAGCCAGTCTGTCTAGTGAAGATCTTTCTCTTTTACTATCTCACACCGGTTAGGATAGCTATTATCAAAAAGTCAAAAGATAAAAAGTGTAGGCAAGTATGCGGAGAAAAAGGAACTCTTATATACTGTTGTGGGTATGTAAATTGGTGTGACCACTATGAAAAACAGTATGGAGGTTTCTCAAAAAATGAAAAACAGAACTACCATATATGATCCAGCAATCCCACTTCTTGGTATATATCCAAAGAAATTGAAATCAGGATCTTGAACAAATATCTTTACTCCCATGTTCATTGCAGCATTATTCACCATAGCTAAGACATGGAAACAACCTAAATGTCCACTGATGGATCAAAGCATAAAGATGATGTGGTATACACATACAATGGAATATTATTCAGCCTTCAAAAAGAAGGCAATCTTGCCATTTGCAACAACATGGATTAACACAGAGGACATTATGCTTAGTGAAATAAGCCAGATGCAGAAAGACAAATACTACATGATCTCGCTTAAATGTGGAATCTAAAATATTCAGACTCATAGATGCAGAGTAGAGTGGTGGTTGCCAGGGGCTAGGGAAGGGTAAAATGGGAAGGCATTAGTCAAAGGGTATAAAGTTTCAGTTATACAAGATGAATACATCTTAGAGATCTGTTTTACAGCATAGTGCCTCTAGTTAGCAATACTGTGTTTGCTAAGAAGGTAGATCTTGTATTAAGTGATTTTATCACACACACCCCAAATAATAAAAAAAGTGGAAACTGGTGGAAACTTTTGGAGGTGATGAATATCTTCATGGCCAATGTGGCCAATAGTTACATGGTTTTATATTTCTCTCCAAAGTCACGTTGTATACATTAAATATATATAGTATTTTTGTATGTCAATTATATATTAATAAAGTGTTCTTGATAAGTCATTAGATAATAAGAAACTTGATATAATTTCAGTTTTGTAAAAACAATTCTTATTCATATCTATGCACATATGAGAGATAGAATAGCATTAGCCAATATAGTGGAGTTACCAGAAATATTTCATTTTCTTCTATGTGCTTTTTTGCATTTTAAGAATTTTATAAGCTGAATTTGAATTATCTTTTAATCAAGGGAAGGCAACACATTTTTTTTTTTTTTTGAGACAGAGTCTCACTGTGTTGCCCAGGCTAGAGTGCCGTGGCGTCATCCTAGCTCACAGCAACCTCAAACTCCTGGGCTCAAGAGATCCTCCTGCCTCAGCCGCCCGAGTAGCTGGGACTACAGGCATGCGCCACCATGCCCGGCTGTGGCAACTCATTTAAAAATTTTTTTCAGCGAAAGGAAAACATGAGGTGGGAGACAGAGAGACACTTTTTGACATAGCCAAGGCTCAGCTTAGGTGTGTGTCTATTGTTGGGTGGACAGAGGGCAAGGAGGAATAACTAGAAGATAAATTATGAAGAAATTCTATAAACACTTTCTCTTGTTTCACACCCCTCTTTCCCTATTTATATCTCTTGATCTCTAGGAAGAAAAAAAATCTCCCTGACAACATATTTCAACATACATTCCAACAGTATGGTCGGCATCATGAAGCTATGTATACCTCTACTCGTGACATTCTTCTGTGTGGTGCTACCGTCTGTGCTGGGAGCATGGAAGAAATCCTGTGGTAGGTGGTGATGTTGGGGTGGGGACCAAGGGAGAGGGGCTGTGCTTTTTTCTGGACATGTGAAGGCGTATTGTGTTTGCCATATTTGACTCAGACCCACCTTCCCAGGATCACCCATTGGAGAATCAGACAACTTTGTATGCACAGAGATCTAAGAAATTTCCATGCTGAGGTTCTTTAATGCTTCTTCTTCTAACCTTGAAAATAGCAATAAGTATCTGCCATATATATCTATTCATATATATCTATTCCATATATATCTATCCATATATATCTATTCCATAACCTATGAGGATGTGATATTTTCCAATGTTAGGCTATCTTTGAGGGGGGGCTGCCAATATAGAGCTATCCTACTTTTTCATACTTCCAGAAATTCTGTTCCCTAGCTGTGTTTTCTTTGATGCTTACCAAATGGGTATTTCTAATGTATATCCTTCGTTTTAGTGGCAGGATCTTTCAGAATGTGAGAAGATAGAAAAGCACGAGATGGGTTCTCAGTGGGGCAAAGTTGGAGGTCACATGATAAGAATCAATTGAGGGGCTAAGAAAACAGTGAGAGAGTTATGAATTTGGAGAGAGGATGAGTTATTAAAGGCAGGGTCAACAACTAGGGGGAAAAAGGGTGGAGAATCTGCTCCTTACTTTCCCTGGCCTAGCTTCCTGCACTATGAAACAGGCATCGTAAGGAGGCTAGAGGATATCTCAGGCTCTGAGAGCTCCTGTTATGTAAGTGTAGATTTTATAGGAGTGGCACATGAATGCTGAGAGTATACTGAGTCCTAACTCTGGGGTGTTCAGAAAGGGCCCAGAGGCCTGCAACACTGATAAAACCTGTGGGAGCCAAGGAGGCAAAGAGGTCAGTGAAGATGCAACGGATCCGTGAAAAAGTAATAACTGGAATTTAAGGAGGTTCAGAAAGGGAATTTTCTCATAAGGCAGATAGATACCTTGGTGGGGACTTGGGGCTTGAATTCTAGGAGGAGCTCTTAAACTTAAGAAGGACTTCTTGGCCGGGCGTGGTGGCTCACACCTGTAATCCTAGCTCTCTGGGAGGCCGAGGCGGACGGATTGTTTGAGCTCAGGAGTTCGAAACCAGCCTGAGCAAGAGCAAGACCCCGTCTCTACTAAAATTAGAAAGAAATTAATTGGACAACTAAAAATATATAGAAAAAAAAAATTAGCCAGGCATGGTGGCGCATGCCTGTAGTCCCAGCTACTCAGGAGGCTGAGGCAAAAGGATCGCTTGAGCCCAGGAGTTTGAGGTTGCTGTGAGCCAGGCTGATGCCACGGCACTCTAGCCCAGGCAACATAGTGAGACTCTGTCTCAAAAAAAAAAAAAAAAAAGAAGGACTTCTCTTCCCATGTTTGGCTCTGTGGCCGCCCCCCTTACCATATCATCTCAGTTTCAAGGGATGACCTATTAATTGAGGAGTGCTGGGGACAGCCAAACGTGGAAGAATGTACCAGGAAGTGTTCTAAAACCTTGAAATGTGAAGACAGAACTAAAACGTGCTGCTGGACCTATTGTGGAAACATTTGCTGGGAAAATGATGTGAGTTGGGAGATAAGCGCTTGGATGTGTATCTTCACTGATTTTCATTCTCTTCTCAGAGGCTGATAGTCCTGAACAGAGGATTGAGGTACTCCAAATCCTAGGCACAAAAATGGCAGAAGACAATGTCCCCCACACCTGGAAATTCACTGGCAAATAAACCAAGATACCAGCTTGGACCCCATTGCTTCTTTCAATATATAATCGATATCCATGCTGTCCTCTTTATCTTACTCAACAGTTTGCTAGTTTCCTAACTTAAGTCCAGATTTTTGGCCACTGCCTCCATGGTTAGATCTTTCCATGAGCCGTTTGGCTCAGCCAGGCCCAAAGCCTCTACTGTTCCATGGACCAATAACCTGCCTACTCAGAAGTGGGCAACCCCTGTTGTTACATTAAAGTATTCTAGTCCCGTTGTCTGGTGCATATGGGTACTACTAAGCTTGAAGGTGAGTGCTTGTGTCTCAGAGTTCCCTAGCCTCTAAACATCTAACCTTTTTCTTTTACAGAAATCCTAGGCAGGATTGCTAAAACCCTAACTCCCCACTGGCCCTCCACCTGTGTAGGCTGGAAGACATTTAAGAGGCCTCGGAAGAGTACTGTGTGGCTACTTTTAGGAACACCAGACTATCCTTACTGAGGGCTGTGAATGAGCAAACCTTTGCCAAATAAACTCATTTACCAAGACTGGGTCTTAGGCTTTTTTTTTTTCCTCACTCTATCCCATTACCCTCGATTACCCTTATTACGACTCCCAATATTGTTCTCATTCTGCAATGTATATAAGCTTCTGACTTTTGCTGTCCTGTCTGGTAACCTTAAAACTGACAGGCTGATTTCATGGTCTTCACAGAATAGAAGTTTATTTCTCACATGCCATATTAATGTGGGGAATTGGCAAGTAGCCCTTTCATTTAGTTTTTCAGACAGCTGTTATCTAGTAAATTTATTTCTCATAGCAGTATGTGTAAACAATTCTAAAACTAGTTTTCATATATGTAGATTAAACAAATAAGCAAATAACTGGTAGATGATTGGAGTCAGGTTTCTAGCTTTCAGAAAAAAGAAATTATAAATAAGCTGACCTCAGTAGCTTCAGGTGCTGGGCCTGCCTGGCAGACTCAGTCTTTGGGTCTGCTCCAATACCAGGTCAACTCCAGAGGCCCCAGGCTCTAAACAGGCCCCAGTGCCAGATAAGCCCCAGTATCCCTGGGCTTCAGGCCCATGCCAGGCCCACCCCAAGGCTAGGCCAGCCCCAAGGCCATCATTTCTGGACCTCTCCTGGTACTAGGCTGGCCCTGATGGCCTCAGGCTCAGGCCCACCCCAGTGCCAGGTCAGAACCCCTGGCCTTAAACAACAGGCAGGTATCCATAGATACAGGCTCCAGGCCTGTCCAGTGCCAGGCCAGTCTCTGCAGCCCAACCCCCTCAGTCAACCCAAGGTCCAGTCCTGTCTCAGTAGACCCAATAGCTAGACCAAACCCCCACATGTCCAAGCTCCAGGACAGCCCCAGTGGCTCCTGGCACCAGGCCAGTGCCCATGATCCAAGGCTCTATACCAGCCTCAGCACCAGGCTGCCCCCAGCCTTCAGGTCAGTCCCCATGGCTCCAAGCGCCAGTGGACCCAGAATCCAGGCCTGATCCAGCAGACCCAGGGTACAGGCGCACCCCAGTAGACCCCAGTGCTAGGCCAGACCCCATGGACTGAGGTTCCTAGAATACCCATTCAGACCCAGGCTCCAAGATAGCCCCAGTAGACCCAGGCTCCAGACCCATCCCAACAGTCCCAGGTGCCAGCCCCCAACCAGAATTTGGCCACTCTTGGCAGACTCAGACTTAAGACCCACCCAAGGACCAGGTTGGCTCCTGTGGACTCAGGCGTCAGGCCGGCTTCCATGGATATGGGCTCCAGTCCTGCCCTTATGAACCTAGGCTCCAGGCCTAATCCTATAGACCAAATCAATAGGTCTATTCCAGTGGATTGAGACTTCAAGCCCAACCCTGTGGATCCAAGCACTAGGCCCAGCCACCTGCTGACTCGGGTATCAGGCCAGCCTACGTAACGGTTCTAGCAGCAAGCTTACTCTTGGACTATGCCAGATAGCCTGTTCATAATCTCTGGACAGGCTGACTGATGAAGGGCTTTTCTAGATAAAACCAGTCTCCAAAGACTGGAATAAGTCCCTTCTTCTTCAAATGCACAGATATCAACATAAGGCAACCCCCCCAAAACAAAACAAAAACAAACACACAAACAACAACAACAACAACAAAAACAAGGGGACATAACACTAACCAAGAGAACAAAATAATCTCCCAGTAACTGACACCAAAGAAATGGAAATATATGAACAGTCTTACAAAGAATTCAAAATAATTGTTTAAAGGAAGCTCAGCAAACTTCAGGAAAATAGAGAGAAGTGAGCAAAGAGAAAGTCTCACTCTTGTGGCCTTGGGCATGTCACCTGACTTCCCTGGGACTCATTATCCTCATTGTAAAGACATAGTAATCTGAACCTCGCAAAGAGATTGGGGAGCATGCGGTGGGGGTGCACCAAGACTAAGGAGAGGAGAGCAGTCTCTGGGGGCCTCCCACTCTGTGCCCCAGGTTCTAACCTCCACCCAGCTCATGCTGAACAGGTCCTTCTGACTCCAGGGCGAGGAGTGTTCTCCTCAGCACTGGGAAATGTTGCACATGAGCAGTTTCTCCCCCTGGGAGTACTGGTTCAGTGAGCAGAGCAGCGGGGGGGCTGTGCCTCCTGGGGGTTGCAGGGGTGTGTGGGCCAAAGAGAGAGAGAGTAGAGAAGCATAACCAGGGAGAGAGATCAGAGACCGTGGCCCAAGAAGGGAAGGGCATCTGTGGGGGCGGCATTGGGTTCTCAATAATCACAAGCAGTGGGAATAAAAAAGCCAGAGTCCCTGGACATTTGTTCTGGTTTATTTGACAGGAACAAGGAGTTCAAACAGTGGAGAGGTCAGCATTCCTGTTGACATCCTTGTGCCTGTGATTTGAGGTCCTCGTGCTTCAGACATGGGCATAGCCCTTGAATAGAAGGGTGTGGGGAGCAGGATGTGCAGCCCAGCCCATTCCCCCTCTCACAGGGTGCTTAGGCAAACATTGCCACAGAAGGTTGAACAGCATATATTATTCGCTTGACATTCTTTGTGAGATTCACAGAGGCGTTTGCACAGGTAAAATGCAGGCCGTTTCTCACAGACTTTGATTTCTGGGGAAAGCTCCACTTCTGAAAAGGAGCAGAAGAGCGGTAAATGAAAGCAGGTGCCTAGAAAGGACCCTTCTCAGCTTAAAGCTCTTCCAGGACCCCAGGACCAAGATCCCATTCATGACACTCCTGGACTTTCCAGAGAACAACCTCCTGCCCATCTCCAAATCCTAGTGATTGGCAGCATCTTAAATCCTCTCTCTGCACCTTCCCCTTACCCCCCAAAGACCTCAATGCCTGGACTTTGTAACCTCCTTCATACAGCTGCCTCCAGGACACTATCTCTCCTATTGGTCCTGGCCTGGGTGAAGTCACCCCAATAGAATCTGTACTCTGATCCTGAGAGCTCAAAGAAGCCTGAGACATCCTCCAAACCCTCCCTCACTCTCAGAATCCGCAGGGTCCTGAGAGGAAGATGAACTTGCCTCTTGTCCCTCTCTCCTGTCCTCACTGTCACTGTGTCCAGGACCCTGCCCCTTCACTAGTTCTCCTTCCACCATCACCCTCCTGGTCCTTCCAATGACAAGTTGAACTTTCCCTGTACGCCCGAATTTCACCTGCTCTATGTCTTCTTTCTATACTACGCCCATTTCTACACCTACACGCACCCCGTAACCGTCTCCAGATGTTTACTCCTCACGAATGCGCATACGTTAAAGAATAATTGTCTTGTTTTCTCATCGTATTCCCAACCCTGATGTACCTTTCACTCCAGCGTGTACCATGGGTCTCTGGACTTTTGGAATGGACAAGACAAGATGTAGGTGTCCCCTGTACTCCCGTGACTATTGCCAGAGCTGGGTAAGGAGCTGGAGGACTATGGTTTGGGACGGCCCGGAGTCTGCACAGCGCTGTGGTCAGAGCTGGATGTGCAGAGAGGTACCAGCTCCCAGGTCCTTCTCAGAGCGGCCGCAGCCCCTCATTGCCCGCTCCCCAGATCCCCCAACCCCTGCCAGCCCGCCACCAACCAGGCACAGTCTGCATCTTCTTCCGGCTACGGCTACGGCTATGGTGTCCTCCTTGGGCCTGCAGCAGCAGCACACAGAGAAGCAGGACAGACAGCAGAGCCTGGGGCGGCATGACTCTGATCACAGCAAGAGCCCTGAGTCTGGCCAGGATGCCAGGAGAGGGAAGGAAATGAAGAAAGGATGATCCTCAGCTCCTTGCTGCCTCCCCTGGGCAAGCCGGGGCAGCGCAAGCCAGTCCTTGCTTCGTCCCTTTCATGTGTCCCCTACCCTGTCCTCCTGTGTGTGGGATGGGGCTTCTGCAGGAATGACATCTCCTCTCACGTAACCAACCCTCTCTTCTTGCTGACAGCATTTTTCTTCTCTGAAAGATATCGTTTATTTCTGCTTTCTAATTACACAATGTTTTACAGAAAAGAAAAAATATGAATTTTTTGTCATCTATCCTCTGTCACCCTCATTTAATTATGCAAATATTTCACAAAATGTGGTTTTCCGTAATTACACAGCTCTCACTCAAAATAAATGACAATAGTCAAGTGTTTGTGTTGAACTAGTTACTGGTATGCTAGACAATGTCACACTGAGCAGTTTTGATCATAATCCCTTGACTTCTTTAGGCTAAAGTAAGAGAGGTAGAACTCCTGGGTACAAGAGTAACTGTGTATTTCATGTATAGATACATCAATACATACATGGATATACATATACAAGTACATATACACATACATATGTACATATCAAATGTATATGCGGGGAGAGACAGAGACTGACTAGCGGGGAGCGTGCGAAGACGGTGCTAAGGGGGCAACCAGTAAATATCTTAGGGACAGGGGAGGCAGGTTGTCCAGGAGGAGGTGGTCACTGACCTTGAATATTGTGGAGGAAATGGGATCTCTGAAGTAAAGATATTTATTTTCCCCTAACAGGAGAAAGAGGAGACAACTTGGGGGCACTGGATTCTCAATAGGCATAGAAGCTGGGAAGAAGGTGGTGGGAAAGATTTAAAGCCCATTTTGATACTCTGAGCTACTAATGCAGATTTAGGGGGTACAAATTTTTTTTTTACGTGGATGCATTGCATAGTGGTGAAGTCAGGCCTTTTAGTGTACTCATCACCTGAATAGTGTATGTTGTACCCGATGGGTCACTTTTCGTCCCTCACTTCCCACCCTCGCTCCTTCTCAGTCTTGAATGTCCATTACGCCACTGTGTGTGACCATACATCCCCATCACTTTGCTCCCACTTGTAAGTGAGAACATGTGGTATTTGTTTTTCCATTCCTGAGATACTTCGCTTAGGATAATGGTCTCCAGTTCCATCCAAGCTGCTGCAAAATAGATTATTTCATTCTTGTTTGTGGCTGGGTAGTACTCTGTGGTATGTACATGTATGTATGCTTACATATATATGCCTGTGTGTGCACACCACATTTTCTTTATCCACTCATCAGTTGATGGGCACTTAGGTTGATTCCGTATCTTTGCAATTGTGAATTGTACTGCGATAAACCTATGTGTGTGGGTGTATTTTTTATATAATTTGTTCTGGAGTCCTGTTTAAGTCCAGTGTGTCTTTGTTGATTTTTTGCCTTGATGATCTGTCTAGTTCTGCCAGTGGAGTGTTGAATTCTCCCATTATTATTATGTTACTGCTGAAATGTAACTTTTATGTGCACCAGGAAACCAGAAAATTCTTGTGACTTGTTTTATTGTGTTGTTTGTTTTATTGCAGTAGTCTGGAACCAAACCTGCAGTATCTTTGAGGTATGCTTGCATCCTGGGAAGAATTGCTCATGTACAGACATCTCGTGTCACTATAAAATATTCCTGCAAACAGGGTTTTAGAAAAAGAAATCTGCTCCTTGGAAGTCCCTGCCTCTTGCCTGCTTGACTCTTTTCTAATGGACTCCAAAGCATGTATATGTGTGCCCAATACAATGTCCCTCTCTGGCTTTGGTGAACCAGTCAACCCCAACCAACAAGCGTGTGCCAAGATCTTGGTGCTAGATTTGATTGCTTTATTTCCTTCATTTGCTAGGTCGTCATCTACTGTTTCTAAAATCCTTCCTATTCAGTCTCCTTTTATCTACACAAAGTCAGAGGGCATTCGGTGGGAAACGGTGTTATACTTTGATTGGCAAAGGAGAATCAATACTGAGAAAGATGGAATATTAAATAAGACACACGAAAGATTCAAAGATAGATGTAGACTCTGTCCTTAATTCCCTACCTATGGATGGACACAGATAGATTCTGGGGACAAGTAACTTTGTTCTGCTCGGAGTGGCCAGAGCTGCAACCCAGGTACACAATGTTCTTCCCAGCTTATTAGAAGATCCCATCTGCAGCTGAGAAAATCCAGTGCTTCTGGATGGGTTTCAAAGGAAAGAGCCTGTGATGCAGCCAACATGTAGTTCCTGGGTAGCACTTAACAATTTATCACAACCAAACTCTCCATTAAGTTCTTGGCTGTGGAACATTGGGTGCATTGAGTGTTTTTTTTTTTTTTTCTCTTCTTTCTCCTGTTCTAGCTCCCTCCCTCACCCCATAACAAGAGGTCAGATAAAAGAGTTGTCAGCCAGTTACTACAGACATTCGTCTCAGACACGTTCAGAGGTAGGTGGCGGGAAGGGTCTTGAGCTTTTATTTGTGGCTTGCTTGGATGAGTTCCCAGTCCAGATGGTGTCAACACCATTCCTATGAGGTGGGGGTTATTGTCTCTTTTGTTTAAATACGAAAATTGAGAGAGAGGTGACATGACCTGTCTAGGTTCCATAGGTAAAAAGGACAGAGATCAAACAAGATACCAGCATTCTTGACTCTAAACCTGGTACACTCTCCTCTTTAACAGTATCTGCATCAGGTGTCGGGCAGACGGGAGGGGGAGGAGGGGATGGATAAATTCACACCTAATGCGTACGGTGCATGATGGCTGCGGGCTGGGCACGCTTGCAGCTCTGACTTGGGCGGTGCAAAGACAATATATGTAACCAAAGCATTTGTACCCCCCCATAATATTCTGAAATAAAAAAATAATAAAATAAAAAATAAAGGGAAAAAACATTATCTGGAAAGCCCAGGATCTCAAATTTTTAGAAGTGGGAGGGCGTCAGTAGCTCTGTATCTTTCTGATGCCTGGAGGCATCAGAAATTGTCCTGCACTCTATTTCAGGATGACCTTGGAAGTCACCCAGAACTCTGTATGTGAGAAGTAGCCATCCTGGGCCTGATGATGTTTCTCTTCTCTGGGATCATTTAGTACGTGTGAGGCACGCAAAGAAGGGTATTGGGCATCCCCAGGATCCTAAGCCACTTTTGGGGGCAAGTAGGAACTCAAAAAAACTGGAATAAGAATGAGATCTCATAAACAAACAGATCTCAAAGCTCTGGAAAACTTGGGTCTAGGGTGATATTTTTTAATACAAAGGAACAGCCTCATAGAACCCATTGCTTTGGATTTACTGTGTTCCCGTCACGGCATGCCAGCCTTCCCCCTTCTTTATTCGAAAGGCAGGTACCGGGAATCCACAGGCCCACTGTCACCCTCACATTCCACCTGGAAGTGGACAGCAGAGCATCTGCTTCGCACAGCTGTCTTGCCATGTGCTGGTGTAGTCACGTGATCAGAAGAGCACCCTGAGCTTCAGGCTCAAGTCTGCCTCAGCGTGGCTCAAGGAAGGAAAATTGACTATGTTGGGACTTCACTAGGCACAGTGGCTCATGGCTGTAATCCCAGTACTTTGGGAGGTTGAGGCAGGAGGATTGCTTGAGCAAGGAGTTTGAGACCAGCCTGGGTAACATAGCAAGACCCCATTTCTTATATATATATATAAACTAGCTGGGTATGGTGGCATGTACCTGTAGTTCTAGCTACTCAGGAGACTGAAAGAATAGGATTGCTTGAGTCCCGGAGTTTGAGGTTTATAGTGAGCTATGCTTGTGCCAGCCTGAGCAACAGAGACCCCGTCTCTAAAAAAAAAAAAAAAAAAACATAAGCATCTAAGTGTGGAAACCCCCAAACATCTGGTCTTTCACAATTTAAAAGGGCTTCTCTTCTCCTTTTTTTCCTCTCCCTAATCTCCTGCTCTTGCATCTAATGAGTCACGTGCCTAAAACTTGTATTTTTCCCACTTCCCAATTTTATATATGGCAAGAGGAGAATGAGTTTTCAAAATCCCCTTTGAAAAATTCTGCACCTGATCTCTAGTATAACACCTGCTTTTGAGCAGGTGGATTCACCTGGAGCAGCACTGTTTCATAACTTTCTACATCTGAGCTGTCCAATATAATAGCCACTAGCCACATGTGGCCATGGAATACTTAAAATGACTAGAAACTGAATTTTAATTTAATTGATTGCATTTAAATAGTCACACGTGGCAAGTGGGCACCATATTGGACAGCACAGAGGAGTCTCTTTTGCTTGGTTGAAAACTTCTGAACAAATATAAAGACTTTCAAGGAGAGGGACAATCTCTGTTACTATGCAATTCACATCAGAATTTTACCCTTTTCTTTGACTCTTATTTTCTTTCTTATTTGGTTCCAGGAAGGTAAAGCAACGAACAGAGAAAGAGGGGAACAGATGGGAGAGGGCTGGGAATTTTGAATGGTAATTAAGGCTCCTCTTCCCATTTTCCAACTGCCCCCAACCCTCAGCTGCCACTTGGCATCTGGCTATTTTATCTCATTCTGTCTCCTTGTTTTTCTCCTTCCCATGTATCACCATCTACGTATTTCCTTATTATCTTGTTTACCTAGAAGGCCATCTCTACGAACGTGAGGATGTTTGTCTGTTTTGTTCACCACTCTGTTCCAGTGCCTAGAACTTGGGATATAGTTAGGCACTTAACAAGTGCTTATCGAATGAATGAACTTCCCCTCCTCACACGCAGGCATACATTCTACACAGATTAAAATGTTATGTGTTTAAAAAAAGAAAGAAATTGGCCAGGTGCGGTGGCTCACACCTGTAATCCTAGCACTCTGGGAGGCCGAGGCGGGTGGATTGTTTGAGCTCAGGGGTTCGAGACAAGCCTGAGTAAGAGTGAGACACCGCCCCCCCCGTCTCTACTAAAAAAAATAGAAAGAAATTAGCTGGACAACTAAAAA